ACAAATGACACGTGTTCAAATGTGTAAGAAGTCTACCAGTTTGGGTCACTTTCGTATTTTTAACGTGCATAAAATTGATGAAATGCACATAGATATGTATGTGTGCGTTTGGAAACAGTGTTATTTGGTCCTTTTCTGCTAGTAGTGGGAGAGTGCGGTGTGAGCGGCACGCACCCCCCTGTTTTTGATGACAAAGTGGGCGATAGGATTATTACCCGGCGATGTTGTAGCAGCTTGTCATGGAAGTGCAAAGGCTGCTTTAATCCCACGAGGACTTCCAAGTCGCTGCATTCTGCATGTGTGCGATACATCGATGCCCGGCATCTGTCGCACCGATGTGTGATGTTTCACTGATTGTGGTGAATGAAATGGATGAGGAGCACGACTAACACTTCTTTGAGTCCATTTCATGCAGCGCAGTGTTCACAGCGATAATGATGTAACGGTTGCCATTGCCTTGGCGCTGCCTGGAGCATTCATTGCACACTTTATCGGCCGTGGTTACAATAAGGAGCCGTCCGAACCTGAACAGGCAATTGCAAACTGATCCATAATAAGGACTGGTGAAATTGTGTATGATTTTACCAATTGCTGTCATAAATATTTCTATAATCATTTCATGCATTTTGCTCCTTGCTTCATGCCAGTAAGCACCTTGCCCGTCATATTCTGCAAGGTTCAAAGGATCCGCTTGTGCCTTCCGAATCCAAACTTACGCAAACAAATGCAGACATTTAGGACAGGGAATTCCCCACCTCAATCTGCAAAAAAATGTTTGATGTCGACACAATGGTGCGTGGACAGTATCATTGGTGCAAAGCTGATCAGACTGAGTGCAGCAGCAATGCCAATGTGTCAACATTGACGCAATGATGGTGCACGCACCACCGCTATTCAATATTGGCATATGGGCATTTATGGAGCTCTGTTGCGCATTGCATCAGCCGAAAAGCAGCTACAATATACAGTCAAGTTCTGCCCTTTGTCCAGATGCCATGAACGGTATTTTTCCCAATTAAACGCATCCACAAGAACTTGTCCACGAGCTCCTAAGCAGCGAAATGGGGAGTGGAGGGAGGAAGAATGGGGGGATGCGCAAAAGGTCGTGGGCGTGCCTTTCCCATGGAAGTGTCCTTCATCCAGCCTGCCCTTTTAGGCCAGTCAAGAGCGAAAGCGTACGCAATAAGCATGACTGCGTAGAGACCGAATCCTGTGACCACAACTTGAGAGGCGTATGTCTCCGAAGCCTTGGCCTGCTTGGGAGACGACGGAAAGGCAAGGGCCCACTTGTCGGCGTTCTTGGGGAGGTGGGCGAAGTAGAAATCCAGGTTGTGGAAAAACAGGTGAATTGTGGCGAACACGAAGCCCAGTATCCCGACGAACTTGTGGTAGGATATCATGTCGTCGAGTGGGAAAATATTCCTCAGCCAGGTGTTCCTGTTCAAAGGGAAGATCGAAAGAGTGCTGTTGTGGGTCGTTATGTACATCAGTATTTGAGGAAGGGAGGATGATCGTGAGATTCGCTGGGCTCGGCAAAGGGTGTAATTCAGCATGTAATTGGGATGTGATCGAGCAGATTCACGGCAATGTCAGTATCAAAGCTGCAATAAGAAATTCTGCAACACATATGGAATCGTTTAAGTAAGGAGCACTCAACAAGCAAAGCGTTTTGTGGATTAAGTCAAAGTCATCTGCTCATACTTAGAACTGTTCATGTTGATGGATAAAATGCAGTTTACTTGCACCCAAATTACCTGACTGCAATGTAAAGTTCTTCTAGAGAAAGCGAGTCGTGAAATAAGAAGGCAAGTAATAAGAGAGTTGGTAATGCATTAGTTGTCGACCATTCCGCAATTGACCCGCCGGCAACAGAATCTTGGGAGCACATGAGCGCGATGCAAAATCAATGGAACAATTTGAGCTGCAAAAATTCGAACGCTGTGCAGAACAGAAGTGTTTGGCGTGCCGTGCGCACCGAAGAGCAATTGTTGCACACATTGAGCAGCCATACTCAAATTCATTGTGTGGCGCATTTCGCGTACATACCGCACAAAAGCACTATTGCTGCTATATAGCTTTGTGCTCTGCGATTTCGACACCATTCCCTGGTTACCTTGCATGGGTGATGGCGTTCCGGGAGACCGGCAGCAAGATCACCGAAAAACACACTTTCATGGCTTGGCCGCATCCCTTTGCAATGGGAAGGCCCCATCCCATGAGCTCCTGCTTGGGCGTGTGGGCCCACATGGAGAACCTCCAGTAGAAGGCGCCCGCGCACAGGGCGACCGTAAGACACACAGTGAACACGAGCTGTGGGTTGTTCCTCGAATACACGTAGGCCCGCTTCACGGGGCGCAGCATCGATTGCGCTCTGCCCGGCGTCGCCGCGATTCCGGGTATCAGGCTGGCGGAGCGACTCCTGAAACTCTTCGCGACCTCGGGAATGGACATTACAGAATCCTGCGTGGAATGGACGAAAAGATTTTACCCACGCAGCGCAAAGTGCCCGAGAAACACACATTCTTTGCTCCTCGAGCCGCGCGCTCGTGGGGAGCATATTGGACCCCATGTTTGGGCGCTATTTTTAGAGAAAGCCAATTTTCGGAGAAAGCGGTGTAGGGAAGTTATTTTACAATACTTTTTGGTACAATTTTCCCCACAAGGGTGTCGATAGACTATTGACCGATTTTCTGATCTGTGCGTTTGGAAAACGGATGAAGCAAGAGATCAGGTTCTGTGCCAGCGCTCCGTCCATTAGTGGTATGTGCTCAGCACAAGCTGAAGCAGTGTCCACTGCGAGGCTGCCGTGTTCCTTATCGATCATCCGGGGTCCCGCCACGCGGACATAGTGCAATACATTGCAATAGGAAATACAGCACGTCCTGGATGCACCGCGAAAGTCACCGCCACGCAAAGGTGCGGCAGAATACTTTTGTATCTTGAGATCTAGGCTTGCAAGTAGGCCAACCTTCACATCCAGTGATTTAATTTGCTTGATGTCATTTGGACTGTCTTCCCAACGAAATACTGATGGCCCCCTCTTGCTTCCTGCAATGGAATGGAAACACCCCTCCCCGCGGAAGGCGCCGCCATGAGCGTAAATCATTGGGTTCCACTATATCTCTAGATCATGAAAAGTAATTCGTGGGAAAGGCAGATGCGCAAAATCGATGCTGTGAACGTGAAATATGTTCCAGCGAAGATAGCAACATTGTAACCGGAAATTATTTCATTTCGATGACGGAAGGTAAATTGCCGAGATCATCTAGTTTCCAAGTGGCAGTCAAACGAAATACGATAAACTGCTTCGTCACAGTTACGTTTTATGCCATGAAATATCCTCAATTTCCGATAATGCATTGGCAGCGACCTTGCAAGGTGGCTAGCGAGAACATTTTATCCGTAACTTTCAAATATCTAATTTGTGTTTTCCAGCTCGTGCAAAAGACACAATGTGAATTATCTCTCTACGCTCAGTTTCTGTTGGATCGGCAAAACTGCAGTACTGTGGACATTGATGTGTGTCATCATTCAAAAAGGTGGGCAATGAAGCAACAGATATTGAGGTATCCCTGTCACCGAAATTTCAGCTGCGCTTCAAGCGCGTATCTGAAATGCTCTCAGGTGAAAGGCTCTTTAACGGGAAATAAAACACGTCAGAAAGCGGCTCCCTTGTGCAAGTTGGTGTCTCAAGTCCCTGGTATTTCTGGGCAACAGCGACGCGCTTTTCTGGACAATGAGTACAGTTTTGCGATGACTTCGGTTAATGAATACAATGCGCATTGGGCACGTGATCTCTTGGTGCGTATGATTTTCATCCACATTTTCCCGACAGTGGCTCGATGTGGATCGATACAACATTGCAGCCCGACACACGGGCGGATTCGCAGAAACATCTTAATGCTAAACCCGAAGTCTTGGAGATGTTTTCAATAGCGATGATTGGTTTCGACTCGACTCACCCGAAATGCGTCGTATCCAATGAAATCCTCATTTCCCGAGCCCAGAGTGCTGATGACCAAAGATGTGACGTCCTCCAGCGTCTCCGGTTCCATGAGCAGTCCATTTTCTGCCAAACACGCCTAACGCTTGTACACGACGCAGGGTCAGAATCAATGGCTCCGTACGGGTTCGCCTTTGGAGAATGCCGTGCGCGGCAGGTGCATCGCAGCGTTTGGCATTGCGCACGGGAGACGTGCATGCACAGAACAACGGCATCAGGTGCACTCATTCTCTTTTCAGCAATGATCTGCACCTTCGCGCAACCACGACAAGTAAGCAGGCCAGATTGGGGTGTCCATGGCGCAGCCGCGTGCACCCCTTTTGTTGATCAAAGAATTAATAGAGGAACGTTTTGCTGGAAAACATGGCGGAAAGCGGTTTCGTGCACAATGAGACAATGTATCGGACTTACGTGTTGACAAGGAGGTAATTCTGGGAGCCTATTCGATTTTGGAACAACATAAGTCCTATTCCTGATGGTGAAGGAATTGTTAAATCAGGTATCGAAATGCGTACTGTCTGAGCTTCAGCAAATGCCACAATTTTTTGGGACGGGTCACGATCGAAGACGAATTCTGCTGGAGCGGGAGATAGACAAGTGCGCGGCGACAACGGCGTCCCGAAATATGAGATACATTTTTGCTTTTACAGTCGTGCCTGCGATGGTATGTGCCGAAAGCCAATCGAGTCTTTTAGGCATAACAGTGCAAAAGCGTTCTCTGAATGTGTCCAGCTCACTAACTGGATGAAACATTCCTTTCAATGCACTGCCATCGGAAAACGCTACTCCCAAACTTGACATTTACAAACTCTGTAATTTTCTTGTGTTGTGTACTGTGTTTCAATGATCGAAGTCGGGTCGTCGACACCGGCTTCCTCGGGAAAAATAGGACGTGGCGGCTACCCCTTGCCCGGCAATGCAAAAATTCGCGATGATGATCATGATGATGGCCACGGCGGCAATTTTCCCCCCACCGAAAAGATGCAGATATGTATGATCAGACTGTATCTGGCATCGCAGCATCTTTGCTATTTCCATCAATTTCATCATGGCAAAGTCGATTGAAACTTGAAAGGACAAGTTCTCCCCAGTGCGAGAGCCTTCGCTGAGGGTTTGGAGAGCAGGTGGCATCTACCTGCAAAGACTGTCTGAAGTCTTCTCTCCCAATTCCGCCGGACCCATCCACGTCATACACGTCGAAAGCGAATCTCAACCTGTCTTCCACGTTGCCGTCATCCGAGTGTATCACGGCTTGCACCAGCAACTCCTTGGTGACCTGGCCGCCGGACTGCGACAGGACTGCGTATATCCTGCGAGGCAGCAAGTCCGTCTTGCACGAAAGGGCCTCCTTGAAGGCGGCCAAGGTGACAGTGTCCTGGATGCTGGTGGACTTCATGAGTTTCATCTTCATGGCGATCATGGATGCCCTCTTGGTCAAGCCTCTTGGCGATGGACTGGGGCGATCCTGAACGCGAATGTAGTCAACACTGAAACTCTAGCCGCCGGATACCATCACGCTCGACATCTGCAAGATCTTTGCACCAAATCGCGTGGATTTTGCATTTACGCAAATATGCCAAGGAACTCTGAAGAACGATTGTGCGCTCAAAACAGGATGCTCAGAATAATCCACCCTTTATGTTTTGATCAAAGCCTACAATGATATGTCCATTTGCGAAAATTTCCAGAGCTGCAACAGAGCTGCCTGTTGCGCCATTTCTTATCCCTGAATATTCCGAGCTATCCCAGCATCAGAGTTAGACTGACGCAGCCTTCCCTCGGCATTCCATGGACACACTCTGGCTATCTGTTGAGTCACTCTACAACTTGTTGCCCACACTGATTGAGTGGATTTTTACAGCAACACTGGTGGGCAACGCTCATTTGTGAAAAGTGATGTAAAGCCTTGTAGTTATTTGCTATTGATTTGTTCCGGAAAAGCTGACATTCCTCCATTTTCTGCAGGCTTTCGGACACTGTTTGAAGACCCTTCAGTACCCCAATCCCCAACCTGCACTCAGAACCACCAGTAGAAACCAGTCTGTTTGCGATGGCGAGTGCGGTTCCATGTGACACAAATTGATGACCTCGCAGCCACTCTCGTGCCATCCCAGTCACCGTGGCGGCATCATTTTGTGTCAAAATGGCATCGTGGCTGGCATCGCAAACACGCTGTTTTCTGCCAGTCAGGCTTGGTTTTTACGTTTACGTTTTCGCTTTTACGTTCTTACGCATAAAAATGTAAAATTGCAAAAGGGCCTATTTTTGCGGTTACTTTTACGTTTTTACGGCTCCCTGGGACACCCAGGTTATACGATCAAATTTGCGTACAATGGTCAGTCCTACGCCATATCCAGCATCCACAACACAATGTCCACCTCGCCCTTGGCAAGGGCGATGATGACGCTTAGCGAAAAGTCGTTTTCTGCCCATTCCAGTGTGCGTAGCTGCCACCCACCGGACTCCGCAAGTCTGTATGTACTGTCCTTACGTACACCGGGCAAGTTTTACGCTGTATTTTCGTATTTTTACGCATTTTTACGCGTGAAAACGTAAAACTATTTTTACGCGTAAAAACGTAAACACGATCATTTTTTACGGCGTAAAAACCAAGCCTGCTACCAGTGAACGCCACCAGCGCTGTCCACTCAACGCACCTGCCTCAACGCACTTCTCTGCCCAAGAGAAGGAAATCCAAATTCGCTAGAATCATCAAGCCCGTTGGATTTCACGTAACCGGATATGCGCCATAGTACGTAAGTAATAAAGTACTTTATTACAGCGCTATTGTATTTCTACACTGTACCATAGTACTTAAACACAGTAATTCACAGAGTGTATATTCCAAATGCGCAGTGCACATATTCCAAAGAGGATGTCACCTTCTTCGGCAGCGTTTCATAGGGCTCGTAGGCCGAAATGCCGCCGCCGGTACTGACATCATCACCGGCGTCCTTCCCCGACGGGATGTCGTCAGCCCCCTCTTCGGCGGGCCCCATGCGGTCCGTGGTCCCGTGGGCCCCCGGCCCCACCTCGTCGTCGCTGGCCGACTCGAAGTCTTCCTTCGCCTCGAAGACGCCCAGCGCCGACGCCACCCCGCTCATGGCCTTCCTGATGCCTTGAGACAGGTCCAAGGACGTCCTCCGCGCGGACAAGGTCACTGGCCTCCTGGAGTGGCTGAAGGACTGAAACTTCCCCTTCACGAGGTCCAGCCGCCTGCTGCTGTGGGGCCCGGGCTGCTTGGACGACCCATAGGTCCCGGGAGGTCCCGCGCCCGCGCCACCCTCGGGCGTGTCCGTCCGAGAGACGCCGGCCTCCATTCTCCAGCTGTCTGAAATGCAAACCGTTCATTAGGTTGCATTGATTCGTGCGCCCGTCGCAACAATTGTGCCATATTCTGTTCCGAGGACTGGCATGGATAAAAACGCGCAATCAGCCGCGTGTCGCAAGACTGTGCAAGGAAAGCTTCTGGTGAAAGCTCTCTTTGCGTGGCCTTGCTGGAAGAAGGGCAATGCATTGGGGCGTCCTGAAAAATGCTGTATGCTTTTCAAGCAGTGTGGAGTGGTGCCCTTGCACTTTGTAGGCAATGGGGCGCGTGCCTGCATCCGCATCCGATAGTTTTGTCCGCTCGCAACGCGTGCGGTCAGAAATCGCCATGTGATTGACGTCCCGGGTCTGGTGAATTGGCGGATTCCAACTGTCCTGGAAAATGCGGTATCTCGATTGATGATCAGGAAAAAAATCGCAGGCGCCGGAGTGCGCCGGCATCAAAGAGCGCCTACCATGGCTGGGGTCCACCATTAATGGCCACGGTTCCTCCTCCCCTGCTGTCGCTTCCCCCAAGTCCAAGGTGATGCCCGGATGAGGAAATTCGGTGACGCTCTGCTCATTAGGGACCTGTGTCGACGGGAATGAAAGCGCGGTGCATGAGAACTTTTAAAGTGCACAGATCGCAGCCCCAAGTGGTACTGCTACTGTACTACAGAATCACAGGAAATAGCGATCATTTCCAGTGGTTTCGGACAGCACAGCCGATGCGGACAGTCACGGGTGTGAGGTTCCCTGATGAGATTGTGTAGTATGACATGGCAGTCCTCGCGAAATGCAAGGTATCGACGTAACCGATAGCGCCAGAAACGCTACTGTTGATGTCACACGATATTTTCCTCATTAAACACAGATGGATCTAACAGCGCCCTATTCTGATCAAGTTAACGCAACACGAACTTCTTAAATGGGCGGTTTTCCGGAGCGGCGTTCCTTTCGGCGGGACTCCTAACTGCGTTACCATCACCATCATCATTTGTTAGAGAACAAGGCAATGAGGTAGCCGTCAGCTTCTTGTTTTGCCCGAGGTGTGATCAGTCCGTTGAAATGTTAAACACAACCAATGCCTATGAGTCTACTACAAGCGGTGACCCGGTTGCTCATGATAGTCATTCCCAACATCGCGACCAAATGTTAGGCCACTGAGAATACGGCAATTGTCTCGACGATTTCCATGGGCCGGCGACCGGAATCGGGCCTCCACGCTTAGCGGCAAGTGGAGTGGGGCGGCAGCCTGGGGCGCTCTCAAGCAATGTGGTAAAGCGCTGTTGGGGCTACTCCTGACAGACCAAGAAGGCATAATAGACAAGCGGGTGTTTAATTAAGAACAACCACAGGGTTTGTTTCACTTTGAACATGCCTTGCATTCGGATTGAAAGCTGCCAGTGTCAGTTTTCAATGCACGAACACGGAAAGCTATATATTTTGTTCCTTTTAAGACAATAACAGGTGGCACAACCGGTGAGCTCTAGGCAAAATTTTCCAGAGCCAATGCAGAGTGGGAGCACCTTGCCAGGAGTTGTACCCTTCACCGTTGTTATTAACTGTTCCCGCGAATTCTTCATCTGCGATACAGGGGTGGCCATCACCTGAACATCTGCCGCAAACACGACTCAGTCGCTCGCGCTCGGTGCCTTCACCATGGACTCGAAAATCGATAATTGTTTCGTACACTCAGAAAGCTACAACAACCGAAATCACATTATTTGTTATGGCAAAACTGCAACAGTTGTGATTGTAATGATTGAAGATGGCATTTAACTTCGCGAGGACATATTCAACGGACGGCAATTTAGTTGATGGGAAATGGCCTACACGTCAGCAGTTTGTAGCCAGCTATATATTTGATGACTTTTAAGCACCTTTTTCGCCGCTGATTCAAAATATTCGCGGGTATAAACGTGAGTACGAATTGTTTAGTTGTAAACTGGACGCAATGGAAACATTGAGGACACTCAACCTCGCCCTACCTATGCAACCGCACTGTGGAACAGCGTGTCTCTGAGCGCACAATTGCAATTTTTGGTTCCCCAACATTATTGTCGACAGAGTTCCACTATCACCGATACCATCATCATACATGTGCAGATTTCATTCACTCTCTGTTCACAAAAGCGCGTGCCTGACGTCATCCCGGAAACAAGCCTGCAGAGTCAGAATCAGACTCTTGAATGTCGCATGTTCACAGCGGAATTCAATCGACCTGCCAAAGGAGGCAAACGCTATAAATTTCTTGCCTCGGAAGCTGGAAGAAAATGGCATTGACGAGGACTAATTTTTGCACACTTCAATACGGATATTATTGCGCAGTATCCGCGGTCGCAATGTGGCGGCGCCTTCTGTAGCAACGCAACCGGAGTACCTGGATCAACGTTTACGCTGGCCTTCATTCTCTTCATACTGCAGACCTTCTGTGCAAGAGTTGAAACAAAAAGTGCCAAGTTATGGTTAGAAAGCCGCCTGGCAAGGTGATGTGTATCTCACTGGAATTGCTTTCATCACACTTGAAGCAGCGCTCGAGGGCGAGCCGCGCGTTTGAATGGCGTGCATGTACACACTGACTTTGTTCCTAGGCGCCTGCAACAAATCGCCGAATTCGGCATGACCGAACTTCCCACACAGAGTACATTGAGCTACACATGCATGTTTGATTAATCGTTAATAGCATATTCAGGAAGAATCATACAAAGAATTTTGGTTCAAAGTAATTTCCAAAAGGAACGACCTGTGGCCAGTAATGTGGAAACTCCCAGAAATGCAAAGCAATCCAACAGAGCATTCTGCAGTGTTTCCGTTTTCCTCATCAAGCCACATGAGCCCGATTCGTGCACCGCATCCGCACAGCCCTACCATCACTGCATCTCTTTTCCGCTGTCATACAATATATTACTACTAGTAATAAACAATAATACTCAGTGCATAACAGTAGTTACTGATAATTGTTCACGCGAATGTTCAGAACCCAACGATGAAGAGCGAGAATGGTGCAACCACGCTGCATTGACAACTGCTTCCGATGCGCATATGATTTCAGGGAAACACCCACAACGGGCGGCATTGTACCCCTGATGCGTTGGTACTCGACTCGCTGTTCCGATTCTCCACCAATACGTCAAAAACCAAGCACCCGGAGAAACGGATTACCTCTTCCTGCGACATTCGTTTCAGCTGAATTGACTGGGAGAGATAATCCCGTGGACTTTCGCTGTCTCTTCCGCTGCTTTCGGCAACATCTGCATCGCAAATTGGAGTGATGCACAGCACACGCTAAATTCTTGTTGGCCAAAACAAGAAAAAAATCGGCCAAAATACGTGGCGTCGAAGCGAAAAATTTTCCACCCCGTGAAAAACTCGTGTAAAACCTTGTCAGAATATGCAAAATCATGTACACTCATTCAATCGTTACTGCACGGTCTGGTCCCACTATTATACGATAAAAAAACGATTTAATACGATATTTACTCGATTTCACAACCGTGAATTTTGTCCTGTTTTTCAGAAGTGAAACGATTGAGCAGTTGCGGTACCTTCCGTACGCACGAGGCACATGGAGGGCGCACGTAATGCCGCGAATGCTGTAAACTTGTCGGCCAAATCGCAAACAGATGTTCTGACCAGGAGCTGTGTGAAATTTTCAGATTGTGCTTTGCGCTTGAAAGTCTGCCAAGCTAAAAATTGGTTGACTGAATTAGCAACATCTGAAAAGACTGATTCAAATAATAATGTTGCTTTCATTTAGGCAATTGGTGTCGTCTTTTAAATAACAAATTGCAATGTCAGAATGGCGCGCAAAATCATGTTCAGAAATAACGGATCCAAAACTTTTGACATCCAAAACCCCCTCACACAAATGCGGAAGTGAATCTCGCTTCAACATACAGCCATTACCATGGCCAATAGTGCAGCGTAACTGAAGAAAATGTACTGCCATTGTGCTGACTGAAATTGGCACTGGATTGGCAAGAATGTACTGCCGATAAGCTGTTGTTAAATGCACTGTCGTTGCACTGATATGTGCGCCCAAATGCGTTGAGCGAAGTATTTGGGAAAATATTATGCTTAACTGCTGGAATTGCTGATGCATTAAATCGGTACCACATATAATATTTTTTTAGGGCAACGTTAAATACATCGGCAATTCGCGATCAATGGGAAGTTTTGGCGACTTTCCAGCACCCAGGGCGTATCAATGGTATAACGTTATAGACCATTGCATGAATTCGACGCCGCGACGCTTTTACAAATTACTGCACCAATCAGCGAAGATTGCTGTACTGTCTGCATTTGCATAAAAAATACCAGTAGATGAAACCAAACATAAGTTCCACTTCATCGGCTCGGTTGCTGTGCCCGGGCGTCTGTCTGCAGATGCAAATCTCCTTGTGAATTTAGAACATTATGGCGTAATGTATCAGTTCATTGAGATCATCGCCTGCGCCTGTCCAGCACCTGTAGCGCGTTGGTGAAATGTCGACTGCTCCTGCAGCGTAGAGCACGGTGGCGAAGAAGATTCCGAAAACTCTCCATCATCCAGAGCCTTGGGCTCGAGGACATGGAAGGCTTCACTGTGAGCTGTGCTTGCCACAGGCAACGGATGGTCCTGCAGCAAACGCGGGCAGCTGATGCTGGTCAATAGATGAATACGAATTTGGCGTCAAGCGGCCGCATGGCTGAAGGCATGTCCGCAATGCTGAAATTTTGTTTAATTGGAGCCTTGTGTTTGGCTGTGATGAATGCACAACAAAACGGCAAGGGAAGCCGTTCAGGGAAGTCAATAAAATCCATTTGTAATGAAATACATTGACCTAACGCTCAATATCTGTCTAACGAACTAGCATGTGACACATGTACTGCATGATAAGGGACAAGCGCATGTCAGCAGTAGGGACTTGCTCTTTGGGTTCGGCACTCCGCATTTGAAATGGCTCCGAAACTCGCTACTGGTGGTCTTATTCAACCAAGCAAGTCTGAAAAATCACCGTGATAGGCAAGAATGGTTTTCTTTAGAAATATGCATTTTTTTCTACAAATATCTCTGAACTGCATTACAATTCACAACAAAGTTCCACTCACACTTATTTTGTCGATACACTGGTGCTGGATACAGGAAACGAGTGCATTCATACTCATCGCCAACAAATTAATCCCAAGACACATTGGTCATTTCAGCACTGTTACTTGCGCATCCACCAAGATGTCTGCAGAGTCCTCGGAAGCGAAAAGTTCAAAAAGGAACAGGTGAGCATGAGAGCAGCGGCAACGTCGCATGCATCCGAACATAGGGATGTGTGCAATGTACATAGTCAGCAGTAAATTGATGACTACTTGCATCCCATCGACTCAATGCGCAGATTGAATGACATTGTCAGCTTTTGCCACGCGCTGATCGCCACTCTCACCTCGATTGCCCTAAGGTCAGCTCGTTGAACAGAATATTGAACTGGCGAAAGTATTGATTGCGCCTGAAAACCTTTGCGTTTCGACACAACACTCCCCTGGAAACATCCCAGCTGCCCAACGCTTCGGCAACTCAAACAAGACCGCGCTCGTTTCATCTTTCGCGAGCAACCGGTCGAAAACCTGTGAGGCCTTCGTCGAGTCGTCGCCTGTCTTTTTTCTGGCGCTCGTAGCATCAACTCCTCGACTCTGCTCGCTCGGGAGCGGTATCTTGCTGGCCCGAGAAGGGATGCCCGACTTTCTCCTCGCCGACATCTGTAGACGGAACAAACAACGAGCGACTAAGCCGTAGCTACGGCCTATAGCCTATAGGCTGATTGCAAGAAAAAAAATTGGCCAAAACCCACGGTTGCGAACGTGCGAAATCGTTTCAAACCATGCCAAAAACGTGTGAGAGTCGAGTACACTCACTCAATCGTTACTGCACGTTTTGGTCCCAATTTTATGCGAACAAAATACACAACAAATACACAATCTACCATGATTTTCAGTCGTGTTACACGGTGTACGATTTTCAGAAACGTGTACTTTGGCATGTTTTAACTGGTGATTTGATCAAAGCCGCTCCAAGTACTTCACGGCAGCCCTCTCGATACGTTCTGCGTCAAAAGATGCTGCGCAACTCGATTATTTTGTTGCAGCTCAGAGATCACAGTGCAACCATAATCCCACTGCGTTAAAGCAGTTTGGTTGCAACGTTTCAACCAATGCAGTCATCTCGCGATCGAAAACTTGTGTTGCCACATTGCACACCACACCCAGACTGTGCTGCACCCATACCAGCAACCGCACCCTCACAGTTCCTTGCTAGCCAAGCAGCGTTGCCTCGAATGAGGACGGAGTCATTTCCACACGTGCCTGGAAAGGCTGCCCGGCATTTTCTATTCTTCCGCACATTCGCCCCCCAGTCGGCGTAAAATTCAGGCAAGACCATGTAATTACCCACACTGCTGTAATGGGCCGTCTACCATCATTCGCGAGGAGGGCCCGGTGCGCCACCGCAAAGAAAAAGACATGCTTACATGCAGCCGCTGCTGGGGCTCGAACGGAACCGGGGTGGATTACAGGAACCCTCTGTAGCTTACTTTGCAACGGAATTGAATGAGCGAATACCACGGCGATCCGCTCGGCAAAGCTGTCCACTTCGTCTCAATCACCCCGACGCAGGATGCGCCCCCAGCCAGCTCAGCCCACCTTGTCGCCGATCGATTCACGAACGCTGAGAATCTTTCCAAGCTTCTGCTCGGAATAGCGTACATTCGGGAACAGCCATTCAACTGTCTACAGTACCGGTTCCCCAATTTCAGTCGCTCAGGGCGATCGAGTGCACAACAACGAAATGCTTGCATGGCAGCATTTCTTCCCCACCAATCCTGCGCGTCGACTACGAAACAAATCCAGGAGAGAAGCGAAAACGTCCGATGGCAGGAGCAATATGCACGCAGCAGAAACCACAATTCAGATGCACTCAGTGCTGCAGCTGTCTTTGTTTATGCGCGGCGGGGCACGCATTCAACGAACAAATTTGTGAGGAAATGATGCGAGCGCCAGCTCTTCATTCTTCTTGAGCCAGTGGTGTCAATGAGCTGCTGAGTGAGGACACGTAAGGTAGCAGCCCATGTCTAAAGCGGCTGGAGCACCGAAAACCCCATTCTTAGCTACCCATATCCCCGAAAGAGGCTTTCGACGGTAAGCCATCCAAGTGGCACCTTGCATGGTCTTTTTCTGGAGCAAACCCCGATTCCCTCGACTCGATCAACGGCGGAGAACAGTCGAAAGCGACCAGCGTGCGCCATCAGAAGCACGGAAACGAACTCCTCAATGCGCCCAATCTCAAGGCCAAAATGTCGAGGCACTCCATGCGATAACGTTTCACGCAGGACCAATCGACTGCCCCCCGTGCACACAACAGGATTCGCACCCCTCCTAATGGGCCCACGCCCCAATGCGCAGCGGCCGATTGTATCCGCCCAACGCACCTCCACAGGCAGCCAGTCAACACATCCGCGCCAGGTCGGCGCCCACCCTGCCAAACCAGGCCAAACCACACCCCTTCTCCGGAACCTCACCCGGACAGAACACAAAGACCCACGCACCGAAAATCTGGATTCCCAGACCGGCAACCAGTGGCCAAGTTAAGCGGCGGCGCCGTCGCATCACTGACCCGTGGGCGCGAAGAAATTCCGTAAGGCAAGGCCGCTTTACGTAATCGCCCCGCCTCACCAGTGCCAATCTCGGCCGCCTCTATGCCTCCGCGCGCATGTCCCTGAACGCCGCCCCCTCCTTTTGGCCACCGCTCTCCGACTCCGACGACGCCAGCTGGTCGGGGGGGGGGATAAGGAAGTGAAGAAGGGGATGAGTGGGGTGGACTGGACCGCCGGGCCGATCTCAGCCGCAGAAGTTGTCCGTGCGCATGAAGGGAGCGCCGGCAGGGGGGAGGGGCGCGTCGAATGCGCCACGGTCCGAATGAGGGCGGCGCGTGCAAGGACCCATGCGAGGGGAGGAGCGGACTGAACTTGGCGAAATTAGGGAGGGAATACAGGAGACTGGAACTTTATATAAGGAGACTGCGCCATTATGCTATGGTGGAATAGGGAGCCAGCGGCTGCCAACTTGCCTTGACACGTGATGTGCCTGGCAATGAGTTGAACTGACAAGTGAAGCGCACTTGTTTTTGCAATGTCTTGGGATTGGAAGCTGCTTGAGGGCTTTCCGGATTCTGGCCGCTGTTGGCGAAATGCCTCGGCCTTTTAAGTGTGTGGAGTGGTCAGCGCGTCGAAATGAAGGCACGGCCTTCCTCGAGCGAAACGGGGACCTGGACACGGTGCACCGCAATGGGCCTTTGGGAAGCCCCGCGGGGCACCCCAGGTCTTCCTACTGTGCATCATTGTCGCGCATAGCATTCCCCGCATAAGATTGTCCGACCAGGCCAATGGCCGTGTAACACGCGGACGAAGATGGTCTCTCAGCGTGTGGGGATCCCCCTGGCTCGCCAAGTATTCCACCTGGCTTGGAATTATGTTTCGTGGACGGGATGGTCCTGGGCCTACCATTCCAAATGGACCTGGGTTACTGGTCCGATGCGTCCGACTACGCAGCGACAATGGATGACATGCTCTTGTGAGGGCATCTTCCCTGCGCTTGCCGTTAATCCCATGGAAGTAGCGTCAACGAATGGTACACATGCGCGGGGTTCGGTGACCGTTCGACGTGCGCTGGCTCCAGTGCGACAGAGGGTGGTCAATTGAAATTTCAAGGCAATTCAGATAGGCGGCCACAGCGCCAGCGCCACGCCATCAACGCTGCCCTAAGCATCGCGATACCAGTGCAGCTCAAATGCAGTACAACAAACTGTAACCCGACCATCATGGTGTGCCGCTGGAAGCAGTGTGTGCGCTCTCAAGGAAGGTTGTCTAAGCAGCATGGATTTACATGGAAGAATATCTCGTGCGACCCTCGGGCCTATTCCATTCCGGCAATGTTGCACACAAGGGCGGATGGCGGGGTACCAGGCTTGGCCCACTAGCTACCCCACACCGTACACTAGCTGTCCTCCACTGTACTGCACTTCGCTTTAGTACACTGGTGCTACACTGGTCCAGTGCTTTGCTGCTCAATCCCGCGGTGGGGTTTCTGGCTTCTTTTCTTCTCCTTTTTCTTGTTTGTCTTGTTCAAAAATGGCGCATTTTCTGGCTTTGGTGAATTGAACGTTTTCCGTGGAAGGTCATGGAGGGACAGACAGTGCCCCCGTCGCCGTCTTGCACCTGCCACGACCGCGCTAGGTTACATTTTTGGCCACTGCGACCACATGGATTGCTCAATTTACTGCTCAATCCACAGTTCAAATAAAGCAATGGCCAACCCATTCAACAAAACGGACATGCGAGCGTGAAAACCTGGCGAGAAACACTCAGTGGCAGTTGGGCGAACTGCGGCTGCGCTGCTACGGGGCCGGATTGGCACATTCAGAGCATGTTGCGTGCCCATGAGTGGGATGTGGCGCTCGGGATGCACCCTGTACAAACGTATCAGCTGTGCTCGTGAACAAACATCGTGGGTTCGAACAGAACAGGTGCTTGGGACCATTGGCCGACATCGCCAGTTTGGTGCAGGGGCCCTTCCTTTGGCTTATGAGAAATGCAAATAGTTACATTTCTGACAGTTGATTACATTTCCTCGTGGCAACATTACAACGAGGATTCACGGTGCATCACCAATGAGGGTGCGGAGAGGTGCGTCCTGCGCACAAGCAAGGGGGTAGGGAATGCATTGGTCAGTCGGTCTTTTCCGTGAGGTTTCCTTCTTCCGCTGACAAGGCCAACGCGGGTCAGTGGGTCTGTGGTTTAAGGTTTAGGGTGTCCGAAACAACAAGGGATCTTCACAGGTGGAGGGACTCATTACAATCTAATTACATGCCCGAGTGCCCAGCTCTTGAGAGTCCGCAGTGCCGCTGGCCACTTGTAAGAGATGCACAATCGACGCCAGGGCGCCTTTCGCCCAGGTGCTCAGAGCCACTGGCGCTCCACCACTGCCTGCGCGATTCTGACCCTGGGCCCAACAGCGTCACCACACTTGTGCAACGCGCTTATGCATGCGCATAGGGACGGTGATGGGGCGAGCGTCGCGTGGCATGTGAAGTAAACTATTTGTGCCGTTGGGGCGCACGTAGTCCCAGAGAACAGTTCCACTGCCACAACACGGAAAATGCTGAGCGACAGGAGCCTTGCGTGGCGATATGGCCACACTACGGCAGTTCGATCCCTTGCACGCACCGGTCGTCGTTAGGTGACCGATGTTTTGTACACAGATGTCCTGCCATACCCATTGCCATGAGGTCCTTGGAGAATCGGGCTCCTGCAAGCAATCGAAAAGCTGCCGGGACACCCGCTCAAGCAAGTCTTGGACCAGCCCATGTCGCGCCTGGCACAAGTGACAGCAACCTCCTTGCACAGCGACTCTGTACAACAAGGGTCCTGTTGCCCGCAGCTCCCTGCAGCCGTGGGAGATCGCAATGGACGTGGATGGTTGCCTATGGTGGGGCTGCCCATACAGAGTTCAACCATGGTCCCATGCTCTCCATGCCAATAAAATCTTGGGCATTGAGAAACTTTCACAGAACAAAGAACTCTCCTCCAACCAGTGGATGACAATGACGATAGCGACAGTGAACTTCCTG